GTGAAACTACACACTGTAACTACATAAGCACCAGGGTTGCTTCAATTTAGCTACATGTGTATGGGACTTGTTAAATGTGTAGCGTGGATAAGCAAACACGACACACGTGTTTACATACTGTCTGTCCAAAGTGTAGGGAGCTGTACAAACTACAGAACTGAGACCAGTGATAGGCAGGATATCACTGGGAAAAGGAAAGAGCGATAACATCATGAGAGAGGAGGCAGAGTACTCTGAGAACCACTGGTAGAGAAACAGTGGGGGAGACAGTGTGTAAACAGCAGCTGGTTATCGATGCTGCGACTCTTGCGAGTTCAGATGTTCTGGGACATTGCTACTAGGCCACGATAGCTAACTAAACACATTTGTGCCTCTTCTTAGCGTCAGGGTGCTGACGAGAGCAGACGGTCTGTTGACCCACATCTACCCCACCCTCTAGCTAAAGTACAAAGATAACACAACAAAGAAAATGGAGTCCTATCATCTCCCCATTACTCACACGCTCCACCATACACATTCAGGTGCATGCCATACAAAAGGAAACTGATGCAGATTATCTATGAAGAGGTGGTCTGACGTTGCAAGAGAGCAGTGTCTAGATGGCTACGTTTAGGCGTTAAACTGGACCACATGTAGCTAACTGTGCCAACACTTGCATGCAACTCTCCCTGCACTCAGCCCTCAACCATACTGTACTCTGGAAACTCTGATATCGAGATACGGGAATGCGAGTAGCTGACTCTACCGCCCTCTCATGATGGTATTGACTCTTCTCAAAGCCTTCTCTGCAGAGAAAGCAAACCGTGACTCACATGATAGATACGAGTACAGAGCAAATGAATGGGAGGACAGTTACAATTTATTCGAAACAATTAGAAACTAAAACTTTAACACCATAGACTAAAACTATTCCAATGGTGCACTTCTTTTGGGGGAACGAGTATGCAGAGAGACTGACTTGTCATGGTATTTTATGTAGGTATATAACAAAATATGGGACAGTTTGGCATACACCATTAATATGACACGGGGGGAGGGAAGGGGGGAGAGGGTTCTCCTTTTGTTACCAAGCTATAGACTCTGCAGACACAATTCCCATCCAATTCTCATAACCCAGACAGACCTACTAAGAACCATCCTGGAATTTTTGTGGCAAACTGGACCACATGATGTCCATTCCCTGAACTCAGCCTTTGTTACTCTGATGGTTTAGGGAATGCTCAGACCTGCTTTGAGAATCCATGATAACATTCCTAGAGTAAATGGGTCAATTATACCACTTTTCAGAATGTAACCATGTTAGATGGATGGTGATTAGTACTCATCACCTATGTTTATTGTGCATAGGTTGCAGGAATAATATACATTACATCAGTATACACCATGCCACCCAGGGTAGCTCTTCTCTTTTCTTAGAGCTGTCCTGGGTGTAGTTGACTTGTTTGCCTTGCCTTGCCTTTCTACCTCGCTACCAAGTTGTTGAGACATGCAGTAGGTTAGCGTTCCATGGCTCTGTGTGAACTCTGTCTTGATGACTTTAACAACACATGCCATAGTGAGAACTTAATAATGTTTGTGAGTAGTCAGCTTAGCGTATGTGTAGGCTAATCCCGCCTTGGGAATATTAATGTAGCATCCTGATTGTCCACCAACTCCCCTACTGAGAGCTAGCTACTTGCTGTCTTGTTTGTTTCTCTTCCACAAGATTTTTCACGTCATGTCCACAACCCATTCTTCCTCAGCTCCACAAGTAAGAAGAACTTACATACGTAATGTGAACAAAGGAGTACAGTATTTTGCTTTGCTATCTACACTATCTCTCCCTATGATAATTTTGAGGGTTTATCAGCATGAGATAATCATCATCAAAGGAAGTGCACAGTATGTATATTATTGATAGATAAGTTTTCAATGAGAGCACACCACACAGGTGAGCTCCTTCTCACTATCATATGGTGGACAGGACAACCCAGAACAATGGGGTTCCACATGGTAGAGGAGAGCTTGACTGCTATCAGCACCATTAAGTCCAGCAACAGATTCGGGATCTTTGTCCACACATTCATATGTGGAGCGATAACTAGCTTTGTATGAAGACATCAAGTATCCAGTGTACTCTGTGGTCCAGTTTGTGGGGCAGTTGACTTTAGCTGGAATCATCAACAGTGTAGCCCGTGTTGTGACATGGCACACAGCACATGGAACATTGTGGTAATGAACAGTTCGTAACGGTTGAGAGCTGGATGATCGATACTCCACTCCATATATGTAGCTATATCCTTGTGCTCCACTAGTATACTGCAAGTGTTCAGGATCATCTGGCATACAGAGATGGTTGGCGCCCCCTCCACGGTTATTATGGTGACTCCCTCCAGCTCTCCCAGAGTACACCAGCTCAGTTCCCTGGCCACTGGGACAAACAGTCCTCCCCCAGCGAACATAGACAGCTCCTCCCATGGCAAGAGGACCTGGGGCTCCTAGTGGTCCTTGAGGTCCAGTTAGTCCAGTGTCCCCACGATCTCCTTTGTTACCAGTTCCTCCTTGTGGTCACTGAGGTCCAGGCTGACCAGGGTCTCCACTGTCTCCATTGCTTCCAGTCATCCCCTTGAGACCCAAAATTCCCCGAGGCCCCGTTATCCCTCTCTCTCCCTGCGGTCCCTCGCTTCCCTTCTCTCCCTTATCTCCGCCCACTCCTGTTGGTCCAGGTAGACCAGGTGGTCCAGCTGGACCTCTCACTCCATCTCTCCCATCCCTACCTCTCAGTACCTCCACTTGGTGGACACTTACTTGACTACCTCCTGTGATGGGACCACACAGGCATCATTTCTTAGTGTACATTGAATTCTCAGAAACTTGCTTCTCTCACCTTCATTTTGGGCAAAGGAAATAGAAAAAGCAACTACTATTGTTGCTAGAATCAAGGCACACTTTGGCAACTCCATCTTCTGTGAAAACTCGATATGACAGAAGCTCTCAGACGTGTGTATGGGGAGTAGGATATCCCTTTTATACTGGCAAGAAGCAGTCATTTTACTCCAAAGCCTGCAACCCCACACACTGACAGAGGAAGAAACTCTGTAGTAGTGGATGGCCCCAGCTTGAACCCACACTGAGGCTGACTGTCTTTCAATGGGGAAGACATCTCCATTAGTGAGTCTTATTAGCTTAATCTCTTGCCAGAAGAGCATGTGGCAGTCCCAGCCAATGGACAGCAGAGTACTTGAACCAAGAGGGAGCAAGGATGATACAAATGAACAGTGACCTACAGAATGTTACAGTGAAAACTACACACTGTAACTACATACTGAAAGCAGTAGGAAGTTTACATACTGTAACCTAACAAGCCCCAGCTTCAATCAGCTATGTATACAGGAAATGTGTTTCAAAATTGGGAGACGTGTAAATTGTGCCACACGACTAAGCAAATCTTGTGAAACTGTATCAAGGATTAATAATCGCGGGTAGCACTTAAAACTTGTATTACACACTATGCAGGCCCTATAAATTTGAGTGCATACCTCTTAGCCAGTGAGTGTAGGCAAAATTGTCAGCATCTACTGGCTTGACTGTGAGGAGAGCAAATAATTTTACTGTGTGCTGTTATATTATACTGGTGATGAGGTCTCACAGTAAGAGAAGAGGGAGGACTGAGTGTTGGTAGGTCTGCTAGTGGTGGGAGACTGTCTCCTCTGCAGAATGTGAATACTGTCGTCAGTTCCTCCCACTGCTAGTATACTGGAACAGAGAGCATCACTGAGTCATGTACACACACCGCAGAGGCATTATCTGTCCATGCATGGGTAGTCAAGCCATGCTCTATCGGTACTGCCAGTATGCTGTAGATCAGACCCTTAGTCACGTCCACATTAGAGATTATATCTGGGCGCAAGTTTATTCAATACACATGGGTAGTCAACTGATACACTACAAGAATAATATCAAGATGCTCAGTCATGTGCACACCACAGAGACATGTATTCATTCTGCCAGACGCTCATTCATTTTCTGTCCATATGCATGGGTAGTCAAGCCGTGCTCTAGTGTGTCAACAATCCGGGCTGCTATCAGAGGTACACACCTGCTATTGGTCATCCATGCAGCACAAGTGATGGCGGAACCTCCACACCCCAGTTTCTGGCTGCACTGCCAGCCACTACTGCTGTCAGGACCACTCACGTAGAACACAACCTCCCCCATCACTGTACCTACTGCCAGTACCCTGCACGTGTACACACAATACTACATCATGGACACAAACAAGGCGTGTGTATGTAGTTCTCTATGTGTTTGGTATACCCCCGGTGAGGGGAAAACTGTGACAGTCGGTGACTATTTTGTGGGTCAGAATCATTTTCCATTACATTTTCGTTTGAATGTAGCCTTGCTAAATGCTTGTCCAGTCAGGAGAAGGTGAGCACTGAACCCTATTACACTGATATCAGCTTTTGTGTCCTGGAGTCTACCGACCACTGAATGCTCTACCCTGCGAAACACACCACAGCATTAATATCAAGTAAAAAAATTGATGCTTGCCTACAAACGTTTTTGAGGAGAAAATACAAGCACGACATGTACTGCACTCTTCTGCATTCT